TGGTGCGTATTTTATTATTTGTCAAGAACGTAGGTTAATTCTATGTTGATTTTGCTTGGTTGTCAATATTCTTGCATTATTGAAAGGAGGCTTCTTATTTATATATAACTATTTATCTACTTAGGTACGGGCTGCTATTAAGGTGAAGGCCTCTGTCATTATTTGCTTCACTTCATCTGGAAGGGCTGCGAGGTACTTCTACAGTGAATTATTCGATTAGACTGTTCATATTGTTATTGATATTGGCTAACTCCTTTAAATGGGGAATCAACACACATCCATTATATTAATATAACATATATTTTTACCCCTTTTGACATCTCCACCTATTTCCGAACGTTTTATGACTTCCAAACATGTGGTATATGCTTCTCAGATTGATTGCAAAGTATAGGCCAACAATGCCAGTACTCTCTGTTGTGATCCCACGACTCAAGACCAACCAGCTTAAGTGGAGCTTTAGTGGAGCTTTTGAGGTAATTTCCTGACTTATGAATCTACTTTAGCTAATTTTCTTTTAACTGTCAATATGTGCGACCTACGTCTCTCGGTCCTTTTGACAGATTAGTTTTTCTATCAACAGTAGCTAATAAGCTTCCCACAAAAGGATCGCCATGAGCTTATGATGTTAATAATGATATCGATATACACTCACTCAAGTAGGTTCTAGGAACTAAGATTTTCCCCCCTAACTGAATTCTCATCATGCTTCTTACATTTAAATAAGAACAACTGGTTCTTTTTTCTCTCTTTTTCTTTGTGGTTCAGGAGTAATTTTGAGCCTTGTGAATTATGGCTCTACTCTAGTAGAGGTTAATTATAAGATAAAGTTATGATAATGAAAATGATAGACTCCTAACCATCTGTCATTTATCAAAGGTTTCACAATACTGCTATTCCCTGAATTTTGCCGTACTGGGAGGTGTTTTCATATCTTTTTTCCTCATACGGAAAATCAGCAATGATTTTATTGAACTTCAGAAGATGATATGATTTATTGGCATGATTTTTAACACTTGCTCGTTCCATTGAGTTATCATATTATTGATGTATTTTGTTTATTTGTTTTGGGTCATCCATCATCCAAACTTAAAAATAATTACATGTGTGGCGCAGGCAAGGCAGTCCCTTATTGTAAGAGGTCTCTTTCCGATGCTTGCTGATCCTCGACATCCTGTAAGATACTGTTTTCAATGGATTGGTATTTTTATTAGTTGTTTCATGAGATTATTCTTGCCTCTCTTCTTCTTCTTCTTTTTTTTTTGGTTGGTGAAAATCCTGTCTGGTATTTTGTTGAGCTTAGGTCATGGTGAGGAAGAGGTAGACTAAGGATTGTGTACTAATTGTTATTTGAAGTATAAATTAATAACGGAGAATCAGGATAAGTTTGGATGAACTATTTTATTTATGGTCGCTTCCACGGTTAAGTCTTATAATGCAACTGATTGCCATGTTGGTGGAACATAACCTTCCTCCTGCATGTTATTGCTTTGTTCTGTAGTTATCGGCATAAATCACCAAACCGATGACTGCATGCTGCTTTTTGAGCAGCGTGGCATTAATCGTTTTGATCTGAAAACTCTACGCCTGCAGGCGGAATCAACAAGTGCAACAAATGAATCAATCCTTAAGATTGCTCTTGATCATGGAAAAGCAGCTGGAGTTATAAAGTCGCATGATCGCGTGGTTGTTTGCCAAAAAGTGGGTGATGCATCTGTGGTGAAGATTATCGAGCTTGAAGATTAAAATTGCGTTTTCCCCGAACAGTTTTAGGGTTTTCCTTTATTGGTCAATTCCGATATTTTTGAAAGCAGGGAGATCATTCTGCTCACACTAATAGGTTATTTTCCTCTGGGTTGGGTGGCTATATATACAGTTTGCGCATGGGAAAGGAATATGAATGCAATTATTACCGGCTGTCAAACATAAATTATCAGAGGAACATGCTTGCCAATTTTTCTTCTTCTTTGAATTATAGTAGATAACAACTCATTTAACGAATAGTTTATCTGGTAGCATTGTCAACGATGCAACATTATTTACTGCTCCTTTACGTTCCATTCATGTTTGACATTGGAAGTTCTCAAACTTGCATGGTTGATCAAGTCTGGTAGTGTTGGGTTCCAAATTGCAACTAGATGTGATGTCACGTGTTGCATGAAATCTGAAGAATTAAGTTGCTGGTATGACTTGTTAGATCCATATATTGTCAAGTAATATAAAATGTAACGTACTATGTATGAGAAACTGTACCATTTATAATTTGTAAATAACGTTACTTGCTTGGGGGATAAACTGCGGATCTATAATGCAATTTTATATGGAAGAGGGTACTGGCGGAATAGTTCTTAAGCCGCATAGAGAAGTGGTTTGATGATGCTTAGTTTTGGGGGTGCTTGGTTTTTCCAAAATATTTTTTACGTATTTATTTTGCATCCCGTAAATTTGTTTTTAACCTAAACACTTTCTCAATTTAAATGTTGGTTACTTCAAAAGCAGACGTGTTGAGTTTTAGTGAAACTGGAGCTTGTTCGGGTAACCTTGACATTCTCCAGAGGGTGTGATTTAATTTAGGAGATGTTTGAATGAAACTTGAATAGAAACTAAATTATAATTTTAAAAATATTTTTAAAATATATTATCTCCGATTCTAATTATAAGACCTAGTTGACTAATTTGAGAAAATTAAAAAACTTAGTTAAGTCAGTTATTTGTAACGAATAGATGTTTTTTCTAAAATATCTTTGCTAATCAAGTTTATTATTTAGAACTACCATTATTAGAAGGACTGTCTTGAAAAAAGTTGATAAATGTCAGAGACAAAGTGGATTGGGATCTTATATTTAGGATCAAAATAAAAATCAAACAGGATCTTATATTAAGAATCTAAAGAGTAAATATTTTGAGTTTTGTTTTGCAAGAAAAGTGTTTTTCACTTTCTCTTGTTACCAAACACTCATTTAGAGGGTGTTTGACAACATTGAAAAGTGCTTCTCAGAAGCACTTTTTCACAAAACGAGATAAACTCTTTCATATATTTACTTCGTAAATCATAAAAGTACTTTTAAAACTATAGTTTGGTTTCTATCCAAACACCCCATTAGTCTGTTGTGTCCCCTAGGGAATGTTGTTAATGGGCTGACAAGGACCGGAGCCTCAGTAACTATTACATCGAATTCGGATAATGCTAATGTCAGTCGCCGTTCCGCGATAGAAAATAGTCAAGTACTTCCTCGCGGACTAAATAATAAGTTTATGAATATTAAAAAAAATTAGTCAAATTAATAAAAATTTGTTTTTATATGTGTGATTAATATGATAACTTGAAAACGTATATATAAATTTGAAGGACAAAAGTAGTGGTCATTTCATTCTAACTCCGCCCTGATCAATCAGTTCAACGTGAATGTTTTCACATTTATTTTAATTAATTAATTAATTAATTGTCATCATATTGTCATTATCCCTTTTTTACATCCAGAGAAAATTATAGAAAAAAATGAGGAAATACAAGATTTTTTTCGTTTAGATAGGGGAAAAAATGTGAGAAGAAGAAAAAGTAGAAGAGAAAATAAGGTGAACTCTATGTCTTATTTTCTCTCTAAATTTTCTTTTCACATATGGAGAGATTTGGGAAGGAAAACAAAATTTCTATGATTGCCCCTCTTCTTTCTTCATCTCTATATTTATTTTCCTTTATTATATTTAAAAATTTATTTACTTTTTATTTTTTATCTTAAAACAATATTTTTATTAAATAATTTGGTTTTAAAACATAATAATATGAAAATGTATATAAATCAAATAACTTGATTTTAAATTATTTGATGATGCTAATGTTAGTACTACCTCCAGTCCTTAATATAAGACCCTATTTAATTTTTATTTTGGTCCTAAATATAAGATCTCAATCCACTTTGTCTCTCATATTTACTCAATTTTTTCCAAGATAGTCCTTCTAATAATTATAGTTCTATCAATACACTTGATGAGTAAGGTATTTTAGGAAAAACAACACTTGTTTAAGACAAATAACTAACTTAACTTATTTCATTAATCTCCTCAAATTAGTTAATCGGTTCTTATAATTAGGACCGGAGGTAGTATAATTTTTCTATTGCAATGTTTAATTTAATTTTAAATATGACATATCTTGATAAGGATATTTTAATCATTTAGATATTGCTAATTTTCTTTTCTTTCTATTTTCTCTCATCCATCCAAACAAGAGGAATAATAACAACTTTTCTCTGCTTTTTCCTTCTTCTTATTTCCTCTCTTCTGATTTTCTTTTCTCTCAACTTTTCTTCTTATCTAAGCAAAGCCATAGTCTCGTTGAATAGTCTCTTATATAATTATGACATACCGTCTTAATCTATTTAAATAGATTAAAAAAATTAGTTAAATTAGCTATTTATAATAAATAAATTTTTTTAAAAAAAATATTCTTGTTAATCAAATGTATTAGTTAGAACTATCATTTGATAAAATATTTAATATATGCAACTACTATGATAACTACTTTAAGGAAAAAAAATAAACATAAGAGATAAAATAAATTAAAATCTTATATTTAAAACAAAATTAAAAGTCAAAATCAACTTCTATATTGAGAAATGTGATTAAAAATGATTATTTATGTGTAAAATATAAAATAATGATGCGGCGATAGAGCAGATTGAATGTTTAGATATGCCATTAGCATTTTTCCCCCCTCCTTTGAATTGATGGAATGTGTTTATAATCTTCATCAAATGCATAGCGCATTTAATGCGCACCGGGGGTTTCAACCGCTAAACTAAGTTACTTAGAATTTCTTTTAGCAATGCCACCACCCAAGGCGCTCGTGGCCTAATGGATAAGGCGCCTGACTTCTAATCAGGCGATTGTGGGTTCGAGTCCCACCGGGCGTGTTTCACCTTTTTATTTAACTATCAGAAACATATATTTCAAAATCACACGGGGTTTCGAATTCAAGCATCACTCGGCAGTCGCACCATGCTTTTTTTCTTTTTTCCCCTTTTTCCCGTGCCCTAAAACTAAGTCTTACAATTTCAATACATATTGATAAGATTTACTCAGCAGGCAATACTCTGACCTTCGTCTCCCGGCCATCCAAGCACCTCAAAAAATCGCCTCCCTCCATTCTCTACCATGCGAGCACAAGGGTGATCACCGCGGATACTTCCAATGACCTAATTGATGGCTTCTATGGATGATTAAACTTCCATTTCTTTTGCTTTACTATATTCATCGAAAACGACACTTTCACTTTATCTTCGGAAAAATAACACTGCTACTCAATTCTTTCCCTTGCAGTCCTGAAGATGACAATACTATTCTTACAATATACATGTATTCAAACTCTCAAACATATTGCCATTTCAGCCACCGCGATACATCATATAGAACCACTTTCAGCATATCTGAAAGTTTTAGTCAGAAGAATGTTGCTGCTGTTGGCGCTGGTGATGGCGAAGATTGATTCAACAGCTCAAGATCCTTCTGCCGTAATAGCAAAACCATCCTCTCATTCTCCAGCTGCCTCCTTTGATTCTCAAGCTTGGCTCTCTCCATTTCCCTCTCTTTCTTGCTGCTAAATCTCGCCCATTTCAGCCTCTGCTTCTCCAGCTCAAATGCTTCAACCTCGCACCTCAGTTGCTGTTCCTCCAACTGCATTACTTTCCTCTTCATCCATTGCCTTTTCTCCCACGCGCTTCTCCCTCCATCTTGTAACACGCCCATCACTTCATTGCTCGTTTCCTGCATTAGCTTAGACGACGAACACATTTCTTCTTTTCTTGATCTCTTCGTCGATGGTCTTCCTTCATAATTCTCATAATCGTCTTCATGTGTGTTCCCGGTTTTATGACCCCTTGAAACACCTTCTCCTGACTCTTCTTCCTCCTCATCAGAAGAATCCTCTGATTCGTCATATTCGTCTTCATCTTCATCCTCTTCCCTGCTCGCCTCTTTCGGAATCTTGAGTCCTTCTGATTCTGGTTTTCCCAAATTCACCATCCCAACTTCCGATGAGTGCGAACACCGTTGGTGCTGTTGTGGTTGAGGCGCTTGAGACGGCTCAGCTCCCACCTCTGGAGATTGTGGTTGCGGCGGCCCACCGGTGCTGCCGTGGGCACAACTGTTGTGGTAAGCACACATTTCTCTGAAGAAAAGGTGCTTAGAATTGAGCAATTTTCGAACTTCCTCTTTCCTTTTTGGTGACAAGTCCATCGTCTCCAACAAGCTGTGATTTTCCACCACCCGGCAAGCTGTTCCTTTGCCCAGAATATCGTTCACTCTCTTGTACCTCTTATTCAAATCATTAAACTTGTCCTCGCATTGCTGAGGAGACACGAAAAACCCCTTTTCCATCATAGCCTTTGACACCGATTTCCACTTCCCCTTCTTCTGCAACACACCCGCAGGTTTCTTCTTATCAGCCCCTTCTGAACCACCTTCATCGCCAGTGCAATAAACCGCCACTATCAAGAGCCTTACCATAGTGTCCGTCCACTTCATTCTGTGCCACTGTGATGCTTTCCTCTTATCTCCAGAATTGACGTTGTCCTCTGCTGCGAAACCGGCTTCATCATCGTCACTGACAGCCATTTGTTGATTGATCTTCGCCGAATAGGGGTACCCATGCTTGATTGATTGTTGGGTCGGTGCTTGAGGAATATCAGTTTCATGATGGGAAGAAGCGTAAGAAACCATTTGAGGATGGTGCATAGGATGAGGATTTTGAGGATTAGACAGGTTTTGTTGTTGCTGCTGTAGGGGGTTTTCTACTCCAAGCAACCCAGAACTGATGCTAGAAAACATTCCACCACCGAGTCCATTGGGTTCCATCAACACCTAGAACATCTAATTGACAAATATCCAAGAACACTTCGGACCGCCTAAATAACCAAATCTGATGAGCATTCAACGAGAACGTACCCGTTAATTAAG